GACTTGTGGAAGAAGGTGTTGATCCCTCGAATGAAGTATCCTCCCGGCACAATCTTCTCAATCACTCACACTCCAGGACCATACCTTTTCCATTTAGTGACGTAAATGTTATCTCTTTCTCTTCCTCATGATGTGATACAGTCCAGACGTTATCCTTCATTTATTATTAGGTTTGTATACATTGGCATCATGACGTACGTTGCATGGGATGCATACGCTAACCCGTACCACAAGGATCGCATGCAAGTGTTTAAATCAAAGGTACACTTTCACATTATCGTTCTATTTTATCCTTTTCGTGTGTAACAGCATTCTGACTATTTTTCTATCTTGTTGTTTTCAGATATACCCAGAGTTGCAAGGATGCCAAACGATGTACATGCTCCCTCTCATGTCAGGAGCCGTTGAATATCTATCTGGCAGACACTGGCCCCATGGCACTCTACTAGGTCTTATCCCTCCAACTGCTGTATGGTTTTTTGCTCTTCGCTCATTGTTTTATTCGTATATCATCGAATGATTTTTATTTTTTTTATTTTTGTAGGCATTTGTCACAGTGAAGGGATTTGGCATGAAGTGGCCATGGAATGAGAACCTCACGCCGTTTGAAAAGAAATTGAACAACCAGTAATACCTTGCTCGCGTATATTAGACTATAACTATAAATTAGTTTTTTAGAATATATTTTCGAAAGTAAGCAAAATAAAAATACTTCCTAAAGAATATCATTTATATTGCAAAACATATTGTATTTATACTGAAAAAAATATTTTCATGTCATAGAGCAGCCTATGTTTAGTGGCATCACAAGTTGTGTATAACATAATTGTCATCTGGTTTTGTTTCTTGTTTAATCTTGTTTTCGCATTTTATGTTTGAATAATTTTGAGAACTACGCGTTGCATAAAGGTTCTACAAAAAGCGAAATGTTTTAATATTGAGTGAGGCTCAGCGGAAACTTATTCGTTATCATAAAATGACTTTTGATAAATCAACATGATGTCAATTTACAAATTTTAGATGACAAATCGTTTTAGACTATCAGGTTTTGTTTTTAATTAAACAATAATTTTCTTTTTGATCTCTTCCTTTTTCAATAAAAAATAATAATTTATTAAATAAAAATCAAATATAATAAACAATAACTGACGTTTCGAACGTAAAACGTTCTTCGACAGAGTAGAAATTATACTAATTTTTATACAATATTACTTTTTTGTTTGTTTTCAATCATTTTTTTAATCTTTTTTGTTTCTTTAAATAAAATATTATTCCATTCATCATTTATTGAGGGTGTGGGTGTGGGTTGGTGTGGATGTGGGTGGGTGTGACTATGGCTGTATTGTGAAGATAGTATCATTTATTCACCCATACCCACCCACACTCACACCCACACCCAGGAGGAAGAAAACTCGACTAGCCAAAGTCGTTCCTTTCACGATCGATCATCATATTCAAGAAGACATTCATTCAAGGATAGACTTGCTACTACTAATACGGGTAGTGATACTCAAACGATTACTCTTCAAAACTGCGATCCACAAACACCATATATGAACAAAATTAAATCAAGTACTAGTTTACAAACAGCTTATAAAATTTATTTGAATGAACGTCAATCATATTCTAAATCACCATCATTTTATTTTGATATAGCATCATATTTTTTCTTACAAACTCATTCTTCAAATTCAAAACAATTATCAATTAATGTATTTAATCAACATTATGCACAGTCAAATTATAATATTTCAAATGAATATCAATATTTTGGTTTACGTATTCTTACGAATGTTTTAGAATTAGAATTGGAATCAATACAATTATTACGAACTGTTGCTTATAAGCTTGTTGAATTTGGTCTTTACAATTTAGCTGAAAATATTTTTCGACATATTGTAAATTTGAGATCGGACGAGCCACAATCATTTCGAGATCCAGCATTATTATTACAAGAATCTAATTCTGAAACAAAGAACCTTATAGAAATATCAGATCTATTTAAGAAAGTTATATTTGGTGAATGGAAAAACCTTATTCAGAAATTGAAGTTACAACATTGCATGAATTGAATTGTTTTGTATTTCAATTTCATCAACAACAATAAATATTGAATTCGATTGATAATCGTCTTCTTCGTCATTCATCTGTTGACTTAAGAATTGTTATGGTTTGAGATACAAATGATACAGATGTTGATTTACATGTCATCGAACCGACAGGTGAAGAATGTTATTATTCTCATAAAAATACAGCTATTGGTGGTATGATAAGTCGTGATTTTACACAAGGATATGGACCAGAAGAATATCTTGTTCGAAAGACAGTCAAAGGTACATATATAGTTCGAGCAAAATGTTTTGCTAATCATCAGCAAAGTCTAACGGGTGCAGCAACAATTATGGTACATATTTATAAATATTATGGACAATCAAATCAACAAAAAGAAATTGTTACATTACGATTGAGTAATAATCAGGAAATGATCGATGTATGCAAAGTGAATTTCAATGATGATATTCAACAAATTTCAAACAATACAGTAACGAATAATCAAAATTTGAATACGAATATTCATTTGCATGTGACGTGTGATGGATGTGATATGTCACCAATAAAAGGAGATCGTTACAAATATTTATTTTGTCCCGATATTGATTTTTGTCAATCATATAAATCTATTAGTAGAACAAATCATATTTCGAATCATCCATTATTATGTATTAAAGATTCCAGTGAATATCCAAAGTCAGTTTATTTAAATAATCATAATAAAATCAATCATAAGAATAATCAATGTAATTCATGTTTTATGAAGCCGATTATTGGTATTCGTTATAAATGTACTTGTGGACTTAATTTATGTGAAAAATGTGAATTCATGGGTTTACATAATACAGATCATCGTCGCACAAAAATAGTTAAATCAGAATGATTTGATTCAAATTTTGACTTGTGAACTTCTATTAAATAACAAATATTTACTAAAATAATTTTATTCCTGACTTTCTATTTCTTTGAATAAAATGGTTTTTTCATTTAAAAAGAATCAACATCTATTTTTTACAGAGAATATTTTTTCTTCGTCGAAATTCAGCTTTTAGTCTAAAATTTATCTTAAAGGTTACATAGTAATAAAATACATGTTTGTTTTCTCAATATGTCATAAGACTCAATAACATCTTACTTTTTCAATTAATTAACTGAAGAGTCTTTGATAGACAAGTCGTTTTCGTTTTGGGCGTTAGTGTGGATTTAGATAAAATGAATACCTACACCCTCAGTTTTACGCTTTTCAATTTTCGGATATAGTGCATCTTGAATTTCTAATGCTTTTTTTCACTAATTCTTCGTCTTGTTTCATACACTCTAGTACATTCAAAGTTATTGTCCTTAAAATAACACATGTATATGCTAACTTTTTCCACTCATTTAAAATCTAATAATTTATCCACGTTGTAATGGCTAATGATGAATCGAACTTGTCGGATAAGATGCATTTGTTTGATAAAATTAATTGTTATCATCAAAGAACATAACTGGTAGTGTTGCAAGCAACTCCTAATTGAAGAGAACGAACAGCTGCCTATATCAAGAAGAAAATAGTTAAATGAAAGTTTCATGCAGAATAACATAATTATGATCTGTATATGCTTCTGAATGAGAACAATCCAATGTGGGACAATGAACTTCAAGTCGTTCGATTGAACTCTTTCGTTTCATGACAGTAGCATTCAAAAAATGAAGATTAGCTTCATTGTCATACCAAAGGGAAAGATACATTAATTTAGGAAAACATGTTTGAAAATTGTTGATTGAATCGAATTTTTGAAAGTTAAAAAGTTTCAATGTGATAATACTGATTGTTTTGTGTACGATGTGGTATTCAGACGTAACGAAACAATTTGTTCAGCATTGAATTTTCGAAGAATCATCTTAATAAATGCATCAGAAGATTGACAAATCTCTACTTTTCTTTCATATTGATGTAGTGTAGGAAGAATATTAGTGGAAAATAGATTGATTGTATCGTTTAATGTTAGATATTTCAGTAATTCAAAAACACAATATCCCAACAAAGATGAATCTTGTGAATAATGAGATCAAATGGCTGAAATGAAATGAATAATAAAAAAAAACTTCTTCATAGTTTATTCAATTTCTGAAAAATGTTCTTGTTTGAAAATTCAATCAGATTGAATAAATAACTCAAACAAAAACTTACTAGAGTTTGTTCATTGTCATCAAATTCTTCTTTAAATATAACCAATTCATAGAGTACATCTTCTCGACTAGATTTCTCTAGAGTTTGTATCAAAGTATCATCTTCCAACAATGTTTTGACCTGATATTCGGATATGAACGAATCGTATTGTCTTTCAACAACTAGTCGCATACTTCCGATGTGCATAGGATACTGTTTGTTTCATGTCAAAACTGAGAGAGAGTGTAGACGGGTGTGTGAGAATATTGATTTCTTCTACGCCCACATCCTTCGATAGCACGCATTTGTTTAAGAAGAGATAAATAGGACGGGTATGGGTTTGGGTATGAGTGTAGGTGTGGGTGCGCGTGTGGACTGAAGTTTCACAAGCACCTTCACCCACGCTCACACTACCCATCCACACCCCATATACACTCACACCCACGCCATCCACCCACACACCCACACTCTCGAGAGATGATATATGAACTTGATTATTGACGTTTTGAATGATTAATTCTGGTAGTGGTTTAGGGTGGGTATGGGTGTAGCATGGCTAAAACACCCACACCCACATCGATACTCACACTCACACCCTCAATG